AAGTCCTGAAATATGTTGGTTTTAAATTGCCATTTTATGCATTGCATTTTATGTTAAAATTTTAAAACATTTTAAAATATTCATACCATCTTGTCTTTTCATTTTTGAGTCCCCAATCCTCCCTTTAACGATCGACCTCCACTTTTGAAACACCCTGTATATATATATCTTTATACAAGATGATTTCTACAGTAACTTTTACGATTTAATAAAAGCGCTATGATGTTTATCTGAAGGGTCAGCTCTATTTTTTCGATTTTTTATTTCAAGCATTTCATTTTAAAATTTGCTTTCAAGCTTTTTTTAAATTGAAAAAAGAGGTGATTTTTGTAACATGAAATGAGGTAATTTTTGTGACATAATTAAAATCAAATAAAAGTTGCGGGCTGTTTTAGCACTAGGATGTGAATCCTGATTTCTGCCAAAGGATGTTAATTTGAGTTCCACTGCATCCTTCCACGTAATAATAAAATAGCCTTTTATTTGATTTTGATTATATTATAAAACTCGTAAAAATCTTCTTTAAATTTTGATGAAAATACAGCAATTTCAATATAAAAATGGCGATACTCGAAAATGATGCATTTCCGAATCAATATTCATATTAACTTTTTTCTTGTTTTTGGTTTCCTTGTGTTCCTTTTTAGAGCAATTGACTTCCACTTTGAAATCTTGTATTCGCGTTGACATACTATTTATTTTGAGAATAACGATTACGTCGTATATAGTAATTAATCGAGGATCGATAACAACGGTTGATTGTTCGATGTAAATTGCTTTGCAGCTATGTATCATTGCCTCCACTACCCTCAGTCAGATTTATAGAAAGTGTCGTCCTTTGTATGCAATATTAAAGCGTTCACATATTTCACGTCTGCTTATAAATTTTTTACGAGCTTCACAAGAGTAAAATGGGGATGACACTTTGCTTAAATAAAAAGTTCCACAAGCTATTTATTCGCTTTATGATGATTCATTCGTCAGCTTAATAATACACAAAAGACTTCGCAAAACATCGCGATCATATTCTTCCCAACATTAAAAAGAAAAACGTCCATTATTCAGATAATTTTTCCTTACCGATTAACTAAATTATCCGAAAGCAGAAAGAAGAGAGGAAGGAAGAGAAACGGAGAGTGCGAGAGCGAGAGCGAAAGGTCACCGGATGAAAATGCTGAAATTTAAATTTTCAGTGGGTAGCGTGGGATCACGTGGACGAAAGAGATTACGTGGTGAAGTCTCGTGGATGAAGATCGACATGAATTTTCGCGGAGAAATGGGCGTTGTGTAATTCGGTATTCAATTCCAGCTTATACGTATACATATCCTATACATTTTCGCCGTTGCGCCCACGTGCGGACGTGTTATATAAAAGCACAGTTAAATCGCGACTAAAAGGTCGCCGGCTCGGCCAACGCGCAGACCCATCGCAAATATCGTCGTTCAAATACCACCAGCAGTATGAAATCTCGGAGCTTCACTCTCCGGAATTCCATCAGTCGAGAGCAAAGAAATCGCTCGCGGTAATGTGAGCGCGAATAATCCGAATGACGCCCGAATCTTCCTGCCCCGGAAGAAGTTTCCGCGTTCGCGGAAACAAAGGGATGTCGTAAGGTGGATGGACGGGGATGACGGGACGTTACGCTTGTACTTTCCCTGCAACTTTTGGAAGAGCGTCGTTGCCGTCGCTCTTTGACAGAACTCGCGCACCAAGCTAATTATCCGAACTAAAAACATTCTATTTTCGCGGTAGGAGAGATGAGAAGAGGGATCAAAATTTTCGAGTCGCTCGCGGTGATGTACAAAGCGCGTACACTTTACAATTCACTGCAACGAGAGATATTGTATGCAGGTCTCGGTTTTCGCGGAAAACAAAGAAATAAGAAAAGTATGTGCGCGTGACGTCACTCGGACTGTTCACTTGAACTCTTGAGAAGACCGCATCGCTTTCGAGGGCAAAATCGCGTTTCCTATTAATTATTTAAAAGGAAAATATCTTACTTTTATAACGGACACAAAGGATGGAACGAAGATGGCCCGATTTTATAAGACAAGCGTAGTAAAGCGTGGGACGTTGAAGAAGGACGCGGGAAAAGGCTCCTAGGATCGTGAATTTTTCAGTGGGACAAGCTAACTCTGTTGGTTCCTACACACGTTATTCCTCTATCCTGTACATCGCACACAACTTGACTAAATGTTGCCTTACACGCGCACGTACTATCCATTTTGTTTTCACATTACATGTATAATTAAAGAAAAAGAAAAAAAGAAGAAAAAAAGCGTTACCAAACAAAGCGTGTTTTAATATTTCGGCTTATAAATGTTTGATGGTTGCGTGATGGACGAGAAAAAATAGTCGTTTTAAATTCTTTTATCAGGATTGTACAAATATAGGGTATAATAGATGCATCAGAATCTTTGCTAATAAGGAATTTCAAAATTTCA